GATATTAATCAGTGGACCTTTCGGTTTATGCTTTCTTATGTTTGTATTTCTATTTTCTATCTATTTCTGCATTGCTCCCCTATTCGAAAGTGTGAGTTATTTCCATTCCTCAAAAGTCAAAGCCTCACGCAATTATATATAGGCTGTTCTAAGTCTTAACTTTTTTAACTTAACTTATATTTATAACCTGGGAGCAGAGCAGCTTAGCTCAGTTGCCTAAACTGGTGGTAGCCTCTGTGTGCGTTGAAATGTGGGGATCTGTAGGTCTTTCATTCAAATCAAATCATTCTTTATTGCATCACTCAAAATGGGTTGAATTTTACAAAAGTAAAGGATTCAAGCAGAAAAATCGAAACAATCAACATTTAAACATTTTTCAACAAAAAGGACCCACATCACAAAAACAGCAAAAAGAAACAGATTTAAAGGGCAAAAAGGCAACCAATATTAAAATTTTATTATTATTATTATTATTATTATTATTATTATTATTATTATTATTATTATTATTATTATTATTATTATTGTAGTGAGATTATTATAGTTATTTTAATTACTGACTTAAAAATGAACAAAGCATTCGCCTGTACAGGGAGACCTTTCTAGCCTTTTTGGAGGATAAATTCTTTAAGTTTTCTAAGATGGTAATTGGAAGGGGCTTTAGGAAGGAGGTGGTGTATTGAATTCCCATCACTGCTCTCCTTGTATTTCAGCTGGAGGGCTAAAATGCAAGTTACGATAGCGCACCGTCTTTCGGATGAGATGTTTAACCTGTTGGTCCCGTGTGTATTATGGCCTGAGTGCACGTTAAAGAGCCTAGTATACTAATTGGAAATGAGTATGAAATTGTTTCCCGATGTACAGTAGCGTAACGACTATGCGCTCTTGTGCAACGGTCCGCAGGGCCTCTGACCTAGGGCCCCGAAGGTGCCCCAACCCATGGGGTCCTCACTGGGGCACCCTTACTCAAAAGGGCTTTGTTGATACATAATGCAGCATATATTAATATATTGATACATAACAGCATAATGTGTCTCTGAGATCGACTGTAAGACATATTATTGGGGCTCCCTAAAATTTTCCAATTGTTTTAAAAATGGAAATTATACTCGCACTTTAAATCTATGAGCAGATTGCCATTTCCGGCCACTTCGAGGTGCCGTATTCATAAATGATCTTACCTTAGCCCCAACCATGCTGGGGCTGAGGTGGCATAGGTGTGTGAAAGTCCCTCCCTACCCACATTCCCTCTATTTTGAACACCTTGATCTGCAACTGATAGGCCTATCATATAATTTATTTCGTTGTTAAAAACAATCTAGAATACAATGCCAAATATTTAAAAAACGAACACATTTAAATACCCACAATCAAAGTAGTGACCGGATCAAAAAGAGGCCCCCAGTCTCAGAAAACCACAGGGCCCCGGGCCCATCGTTAGGCCACTGCCGGTGTGGTGCCCAATCACCACCAGAAGGACCTCACTGGAAACAAGTATTCTTCCGACTTTTGTGGGTTTTCCTTGGTGTTTACACCGAATATATCCATTAACACATAAGGGACAGACATAGAGAAAGAATTTTGTTTAGAAATGGTGGAGACCACAGACATTTAAAAAAAAAAAGCTTGTTTTGGAGTAGCCCTACAGTGATGTCATGCTCCCTTCTTTCTGGTCTTTCTTTTCTCCTTCTTCTTTATTTGTGGGGGTTGGTATAGACCCGTGTCTCCTGGACCCGCCCTGAAACTATTGATTGAATGATTGTTTGATAATACTTATTTATATTGGCAAAGCTAAGAAAATGCATGTGCATATGCATAGACCTATGTTGCACGCAAATATTCAAATTAAAAATGTGAGTGCAAAATATTATTCACACAACATTTTTTGGCATTGTCTAATAATTAAAGTCTTTTCATCCTTAACACTTATCTCTAGGGGGATTACCCACCCCAGTGTCACTTCGTGAGCAAAAATATTTTACTGATATGCATGGTGCATATCGTTGCACCACTGGGAAGACCATGCGTAATAATGTTATAACAAATCAATCAGCCAATCAAATATATTATACAGCACGTAACATAACGGTACCTTTTTTCATAGTTACAAGTATTTACTTGTTTATTTGACATAATTAATGGCGTACAAGTATTTACTGTATATAAAATCATCAATAAATAGGAAAACACAACATAGTGTATTTGCCTTGACCACCATGAAGTAAGAGTGGGGCCCCTGGCCTATCCGGGGTTCATTTGGACTCGGAGGAACTAAGCATTTCCCCAGAAAGCACACAGATGTACATATCTGGTCAAACCTCCATAGTAAAATGATGGGTCGTAGTTGTCCTTATAAATCAGCCAAAGAGTGTGTTTGTGGGATTTTGTTCTATTTGGTTTTTTTTTTAATTATAGAAAAAGTTACTGTTAGTTACAATTAAGAGAACCCACCCCCCTCCACCCCGAGAGCTCACGAAATTAGGCAACTGGGTCCTGTTTATTTTTTTATACAGTATGCCATAATTAGATTTACAGGACATTAC